AATTTAAGTATGTAAAAGTAAAAGGTAATAAGAGAGGTAAATAATAAGGTTTGTATTATATTCATTAAAAAGCAGAATGGAGGGAACGTATAATATTTTATACAAAATATTGTATTTCGCGCCTCTTCCGAAAGATGATACGTAGTAGTCCCTACTCTATGCCGAGGCGCCACAGTCTTTACAGCTAAAACAAAACGTTTTTCCCCCTCCTAGGGGACTTCTCTCAGTTCTCTCGTGTTCGCGCCCAATGCGTCATTCTTTATTTTTGTGCCGAGATAGTCACATCGCCATTAGTAAAATGGGAAAAAGAAAATACAGGAGATCAGATTCGGACGATGAATCCAAGGAAAATAGGATAACTAAAAAGATGAAACGCCTGTCGAGAGATCTTAAAAAGCTTGAGGATCGAATACGGAAGAGACGGGCACGTAAGTAATAAGTTAGGTTAATCGAAAACTCGATTGCCTTCTTTTCTATTCCGCCTCGTAAGGAGTGGTCGGACGATAATGTTTTTATGCATATCTCTTGGTACACATTCGTCGCGTCATAGGCTCTAACCTATGAACGAGTCACAGGCTCTAACCTGGTGGCAAGTTTTAGCATACGACGAATGCCTCGTGTACGTCGCAAGGCAAACGATTTTATCGTTTGCGGAGACTGAGTCTCCTGACGTATAGATAATACACGTATTGGCTACACACTCGTCACGTCATAGGCTCTAACCTATTGACGAGCCACAGGCGCTAACCTAATGGCGAGCTTTGTCTCAGGACGAGAGGCACAATGTACCGCGGTGTATAAACCGTTAAATACATATTGGATACACACTATCGTGTCATAGGCCCTAACCTATTGACAGGCCGCAGACTCTAAGTTAGTGGCGATTTCATTTTATGATGAATGACGTAATGAACCTCAGTGTATACGCTTTAAGACAAGCGGTCTTACTTGAGACGGGATCTCCAAGTAATGCATGTATGTGTTTAATATGTATATACATATATACATGTATATACATATATTTATATATATATATTTATATATATATATATATATTTATGTGAATGTGTGTTGTACACATATATAAAACGGTCCTAAAAGAAATGTGATTTATTAGGAGACCGTGATTCGAGATTAGAGGATGGTGATCATAAACGGCAGAAATCATCCAGTGGCAGAGACAGGAGAAATCTGTCACAAAGCCCTTCACGAACTCCACCCGATTCTCCATTTATCCCGTCGGATGATGATCAACGATCGCCCTCGATTGACGAGGGGCTCACTGTGGATACAATAGAAGTTGCGTTGGGCGGCGAGGTCGCATCGACCTCGAATCATTCTCATGATCCGCCCGTTGGTACTTCCACAGCACCGGCAGAGGCTTCTATTGAACATCAACCGACAGTAAAACCAGGAGGAGATTCATCTTCTTTAAATGCCCAAAAAACTGAGGCTTCTGGGCAAGAGAATGAACTCATTATTGAAGACCTGGATGAGGAAATTTTGGATGTAATCGGCAAACGAGTTGCAGAAGACAGAGTGCTGGCCCCAGCTATTCCTAAAAGTATCGCTGTTCGGCTGGAAGACATTTTGAAGAAAGGTCTTCCAAAGGAGGAAAGAGAAAAGCTAATCAAGGAACATGCACCACCAAAAAATTGCGTCTTGATTGATCCTCCTAAACTAAATGAAGAGGTTAAAGTTTCTATAGCGGAACCGTCAAGAAAACGAGATGATCGAATCGTCGATAAACAAAAGAAAATTACTGCTTGTCTCGCCTTGATGGGTAGCTCCATAGTTGATGTTATCAACAATAGCAAGGCGGATAAAGGAACTTCGATATTGCCACCAGCGCAAATTGCCTTAGTTAAAAAGCTCAGTGAAGCAGCACGGTTGTTGGCAGATCTGCAGAGAGATGAAACCCTGACTCGCAGAAGTCTAATTCTTGCTACGATTAATAGCTCACAGAAGGAAGTATTGGAATCATCAACAGCTGATGAATGGCTTTTTGGCCAAAAATTGGATGAGCGTCTTAAGGCGGCAAAGACAATCGAACGATCGGGAAAGGACCTGAAAGCAAAACCTAAAATCTCTAAGAAGCCAAAAAACTTCAAGGCTCCGCCTCGTCGTCAGCCTTTCAAGCCCAGGACGTCGGGCGGGTTCCGGAACAAATTTTACAATCAAAATCAGTCCAACAAGAAGAACTGGGGAACTCAGAACACGGGAGACCACAATCCCCAATCACAAACCCCAGCACAACAGAAAAAAGCTTAGCTTCAAGGGATGTAAGTAGATCAGCTGGCAGGTTAAAAAATTACCTGAATAAGTGGAAAGACTTAACTTCCGATTCCAGAGTTTTAGATTGGATAAAAGGTTATAAAATTCCCTTTGCAGAATTAGTATTTCAAAATACAATCCCTAGAGAACCTTCATGGTCACTAAAAGAAAAAATTCAGGTTAAGGAACACATAGATCAGTTAATTTCCAAAGGAGTTATTAGTAGGTGCCATCCACAGAAAGGGCAATTTGTATCGGGTATCTTTTTAATTCCAAAGCCAGATGGTTCAAGTAGATTGATTCTTAATCTTAAAAAATTAAATGAATTTATTGAAATAGACCATTTTAAAATGGAGGATTATAAAGTAGCTTGTAAATTAATAAGTCGCAATTGTTTTATGGGTAAATTGGATCTTAAAGATGCGTATTATATGATCCCAATTGACAAAAATTATAAAAAATATTTAAGATTTTTGTTTGATGGCAATCTCTATGAATTTAATTGCTTACCCTTTGGCCTCAACACGGCTCCATATATTTTTACGAAAATCATGAAGCCAGTAGTAGCTTATCTGAGAAACTTAGGATTTTTGTCGGTTGTTTATCTGGATGATCTGTTACTGTTTGGAAACACGTATTCGGATTGTTTAAAGAACATAAAGGAATCTCTAAATGTGTTAAAAAGTCTAGGTTTTATTATTAACGAAAATAAGAGTCGTAAAATTCCAGCACAAGCCCGTAAATTTCTTGGTTTTATTTTAAATTCACAAAAAATGACGTTAGAATTGCCACTAGAAAAAAGATGCAAGGTTCGCGATCAGATCAACATTTTAAAAAAATTGAAAAAATGCAAAATTAGAGATTTTGCTCAGTTGATAGGATCCTTGGTATCGTGTTGTCCAGCCATCCAATACAGTTGGGCACATATCAAAAATCTCGAAAGGGAAAAATACTTAGCTCTTTTAAAGTCAAATGGCAATTATGATGTGAATATGCAATTGAGTCAAACTTTACAAGATGATTTCTCTTGGTGGGAATCAAATATTTTACACAGAGTCTCGTCAATTTCTAGTCGTGAATTCAGTTTGGTTATCTTTTCAGACGCTTCCCTCACGGGTTGGGGAGTTTCGTGCAACAACAATAGAGCTCATGGTCTCTGGAGTGAATCCGAAAGGCTACACCACATTAATTACTTAGAGCTTTTATCAGCCTTCTTTGGACTCAAATGTTTCGCCAAAGATCTTCAAAATTGCAATATTCTGTTAAGAATCGACAATACTACAGCGATTTCTTATATAAATCGTATGGGTAGTATAAGATTCAAAAAACTCAGTGATCTTGCGAAGACCATTTGGAAATGGTGTGAAGAACGCGAATTGTTCATTTTCGCATCATATATTGCTTCAAAGAATAACACTGAAGCAGATTTTGAATCCAGAAGATTGGATAAAGAAACGGAATTCGAATTGTCGGATGTAGCTTTTCGGAAAATCACTAGTAAATTTGGTTATCCGGACATAGACTTGTTTGCTACTAGAATTAACGCAAAATGTAAAGATTATGTATCCTGGACAAGGGATCCAGGTTCAATAGCGATCGATGCTTTTACTATAAACTGGAATAAATCCTTTTTTTATGCTTTTCCACCATTTATACTGGTTACTAGAGTCTTACAGAAAATTAGATCGGAAGGAGCAGAAGGTATAGTTGTGGTACCACAATGGCCAGCACAGCCGTGGTTTCCCTTGTTCTTTTCAATGCTGGAATCGGAGGTTTTGACATTTAAGGCCGATAGTAATACCTTACTTTCACCCGATAGGGAGCCACATCCGCTTTGGAAGTCTCTTACCCTGGTGGCCGGGAAGTTATCAGGGAAGCCTTCCTGTTAAGAGGCGTTCCAAAGGAATCCATAACAATTACTATGGCTTCCTTAAGCGAATCTACCTTTAAGCAATATAACTGCGCATTGAAAAAATGGTGGATATTTTGTAAAGATAAGAGTTTATCCTTTTACGATGCTGAAGTAGCAGACATCGTTAAGTTTTTAACTATAGAATTTGACAACGGGGCATCTTACGGATCCCTTAACGGCATGCGATCTGCTATTTCTCTTATCTTGGGCTCAGAAGTAGGACAAAATGAGGTTATTAAACGGTTTTTCAAAGGATTGTCAAAATTAAGACCTCCGAAGCCTAAATATGATTCTACGTGGGATCCAAGTTTAGTTCTTGATTATTTCAGAGACTTACGAAACGAGGACTTAGCCTTAGATAAGTTAAGTAAAAAATTAGTATCGTTATTAGCGTTAGTAACTGGGCAAAGAATTCAAACTTTGTCGTCAATTGATGTAAGAAATATAGTTACCAAAGAGAACTTGATAGAAATTAAGATTCCGGAGAGAATAAAAACCTCTAAACCCGGAAAATATCAACCGGTGTTAACTTTGCCTTGTTACAAGGAAAATTTGAACATTTGCCCAGTTAATACGCTATAATGTTATCTCAAAAGGACAAAAGAGCTTAGAAAAGATATAACGAGTTTATTTATTTCATTTAAAAAACCGTTTAAGAAAGCATCAACCCAGACGCTTAGCCGATGGGTAAAGGATGTTTTACAGGAAAGTGGCATAGACACAAATATTTTCTCAGCGCATAGTACTAGACATGCGTCTACGTCCGCGGCGAAACGCAAAGGTATTAACATTGATGTAATAAGAAAATCAGCGGGTTGGACAGAAAGATCAGCCACTTTCACAAAATTCTATGATAGACCCATCGTTCAGGACTTAAGAGTATTTGGGCAAGCGATATTAGATAAGTAAGAAAAAGTTAAATAAAACTGTTTGATATTCCTTATTATCTGTAACAAACATATATATTTTATAATTTCACAACCGTAGCCAACTTTCAACATCTACGTATTATCTTGAGGAAGAGGCGCGAAATACAATTTAATGATTAAACGAACTTACCTGTAAGTGAAGTTCTATCATAATTGTATGAAGCGCCTCTTCCGAAAGATGGGTCCCTCCCTATACCCATATCCGACAATTTCGGATCCCGTAACTTTTAGGGCTACGGCTGAACTTTGAAAAAAATGACGCATTGGGCGCGAACACGAGAGAAGTCCCCTAGGAGGGGGAAAAACGTTTTGTTTTAGCTGTAAAGACTGTGGCGCCTCGGCATAGAGTAGGGACTACTACGTATCATCTTTCGGAAGAGGCGCTTCATACAATTATGATAGAACTTCACTTACAGGTAAGTTCGTTTAATCATTAAATTATTATGTACTCTATTATGCAATATGTGGAATATTATAAATATTCATAAGTAAAAAAGACGAATAAAAAGTAGCGATAGGAATTCGGAACACTCATATGAAAATAATCATACATGCATAATAAATTGCTTGATAAATATTTACCAGCTTGCTGAATGTCGACTATTATCATGTCACCCTGAATAACGAGTGCAAAAATTGAAGCGTGTCTTTCCAGTGTTTGCCTTGTTTTGTAGCTCTGACCTGAAGAAGACTTTAGAATTACATTTATACGCATCCACCAATTACCATAATGTAATGTACTGAAATCTGAAGCTTGTGCTAATTCTACGTAAAAAGAGCCATTTTGTGTCCACTTCAAGAAAGGATAATGTTCATACAATATCCAATTTAAGAACTTGTTAGCCATACGACTCAGCTGTGACTACTTGTATTAACCAGAATTCATAAAAAGTCACTGACTTAAACATGCTAAATTTAAAAAAAAATATTGTTATTGACAGTAAACGTTATAATTAATTAAATATAAATATAGATATAAGCATAAATATATATATACATGTATGTATATCTATGTTGATAAGTATGTATGTATGTATGTATGTATGTGTATGGAGGGATAAAAGCCATATAGTAGTGTATCAAATTTTTTTAAATATTGACTCGTGTGCATAGATGCAAATTTATACATTGTATGATTTTTACCCCTCTATATGTGTATGTATATAATAGAACGTAATACAATTTTACATTATATTGTACGTATATTATATTATTATACATTATATTTCGCAATACAACAGTGAAAATTTACAATAAATATAAATACTTTTAGTTACTTAAATTTACATTTTTAAATAACAGTGTATAAAGAATAATTTAATTCCGTGTATGAATTAAAGAAGTCAGTAGACAAGAGTGAATAAAGGTCTTAAAAAAATGCGGAAAGATTTTTAATAAAAAATGGAAAGTAGGAGTCAAAACAGTAATGGTGAGATACATTTAATTTGCTCACGACCAGAACAAAGGAAAGTACTGAAATAAAACTGGAATGTCAGACGTATAGTAAATAATGTAAAAAAAAAAAAAAAAAAAAAAAAAAAAAAAAATTTAACTTTGGCTGCTTTTATACATTTTGTATTTGTTTCTATTATAGTATTTGTATAGTATTTGTATAGTAGCAAACAAATAAAATTATTTGTATAGTAGTAAACAAATAAAATTATTTTAGCTTGTATAGTAATTATCATAATATAATTGTTACTCACTGCTGGTGTAGATATGTGTGGATACCACTTCGAAATGCTTTATCGGTGATTGCGTTTTTGAGCATGCGTAAAACAATAGGTACTACGACGAAAGATATATAAAATGTTATTAAATAATATTTAAACTAAATTTTACTTCTACATTCTTTCTTTTTATTTAATAATATTTATTTTTGCAAATTTAAAATATTTACATAATGTTACCTTTGATACAACAAGGAAAACTGAAAAGTGAATTGATCTCCGATAGGTTATTCATTAGTGGAGGATTCATTTTAAAATAATCATCTAAATGAAGAGATTCATATTGTTTCTGAACTATGAAGAAGTCCAATATCTCGGAATTATATAAGGTCTAAAAATAAAAGTTTCACTATAAATGTTACGCTAAAAAAAATTTATTATTTGCAAGAAAATAAATTTCTTTGAATTTAGTTTCCTTAATTTAAAGAAGTATTGGGTAGATTTAAGAAAATAATTTTTCTGAGTTTAAAATATTTTCTTAAATCTACTATTTCTTTGAATTAAGGAAATTTAATTTAAAGAAATCTATTTTCTTGCAAATAATAAATTTTCTTTTAGTGTTGATCAAAATATATGTCCGCACTATAATCTAGTGCGTGTTTCTGCACTAGATCATAGTACGGACATATTATGCACATTTTGCTAAAAAAGTTGTCTTGTTTTATATAATTAAAATTAGGAATAATAAAAGAGTAATAAAATAAGTTGCTATGTATGAAAATAAAAAATTAAATGTCGAATTAATTAGTGCAGGTTAAGTTCTTTACGAGATACTTTTGTATTTACAGTGTAAATGTATTAATAATTTTACTTGACCATCTCTTAATACACTTTAAAAGTTTGAAGATTTATTCGCATCCAATGTTTATAAAAATAAAAACGAGTGAAAATTTTTAGATAAATGTTAAATATTGTCGCAATAGTAAATATAAAAACCTTAACAATAGCTTCTTCTCCGAATAAAGTAGCAAGACCGTCATGTAGCCAAAAAGAAGACCATCGTGATGAACTAATTGCATTACCAAACCATTGATATGCTATTTTATGTGCAATTAAGCGCGCGACTTCTATTTTGCGCATAATCGGATCCTGCTCATTGTAGATAAGGTTTTCTTCTCTAAAAGATATTATAATTTTTACCAGTTATATTAAATCTTTGTAAGCATGTATTATGGTCTTTAGTCGATACATTAATTATATATATTGTTATTTATTAAATAAATACTAGATTATATGTAATTTTAGTTTTTAACTTGGTTTTAATTTAATAAACATAACAAAAAATTGTATTAAATATTCTGCGAGCCATGGATTTCAACAGATTTATAATTATAAACTAAATATTTCTTTATAATATATATGTATATATTATTTATTATATTATTGTCAATGAAATAAATATCTACCTATTTACATGTAAAATTTAAAACGTTATATCTTGCAATATATTAAATTACAAATTTGAAAAGGTAGTACAGGTAAATGTACATGTATATTTTTTATACATTTTGATATAAATGTGAAATGTTTGAAATGTATATAATTAATTTCGAAGTATAATATGTGAAATTTGTTTTACCTTTTTACCAAAAAACTAGAGAAAATTACGCAATATTTAATATATCACAATATTTATTACTTATTTTTTTAATTTATTATAATTCATTGATAATTACGCATAAAAATAATGCAAATGATTAAGAATAAAATTCGAATAATATAAGTAATTTTATTACTTGATGAATCGTATGTCTTTTAAATTGTGTATTACCTATAAAAGATGAGTCCCCATTTCGATGTGCTATCTTCTGGAAAATTTGGAATTGCAACATGATCCAGTTGTCGATTATCTAAATCTTTAAATTCAGATTCCAAATGCGACGTAACAGTTTCTATAACTCGCTTAGCGAATTTAAAAGTATTCTTTTTATCACATTCTCTGCACCACAAAGAAACATCACTGTTAATGCGAGTGTAGTTGTAATTCGTCACTGCAATCGCAATGTGATAAGTGGATAGTGGAGGTGTAGTAAAGAAGTATGTTGTTGTATCATTATTATTATCATTAGTCACACCATAACCTTGTGTCGGCATGTTGGATAAAGCTACAGAATTACTGGGATGCTGTATAGAGATGTCAAAAGTGGTCCTTATTTGCGGATCGTCCCAACAGGGAAATATTCGTCGGGCACCAATCGTCTGAATGTGTGTTGCGATCAGCCATCTGCCACATTTTATTAATTTTTATAACTTGTTTAAATATAATTAATAAATGTATAAAAATAATAAACTTTAAACTGTAATATAGTTGATATTAAAAATTGTTATAGAAGCACACAAGTGTATTGAAGTGTCTTTAAATAATTAATCATATTTTATAAAACATTGTTTAAATCTTTTAGTTACGAAATTAATTAGTAAAAAGTACAAAGAATAATTACATTATGGACAACATTACGATGTAACGATGTATCTTTTTAAGTTTATACGTCTACTTACACTGTATTTCCTTGTTCATTTACGTGAATATTTCTGAAGAAACCTTCCGAATTATTATGTGATATTTGACCATAGAATTCCAATTTTAGTTTGTAAAGACCGGGGAATAATGTTTCGTTAAAAAAAAGGTCTAAAGAATTTGTTGTAGATGTAGTATATGCCGATTTATAAATTAAACCATTTTTTTTTATCAATTTTGCCTCATCAGACAAATGGATATTTATTGCGTGTAATGTTATATTTTGTATCGGTTGAAAGATATTAATTATTATATTGGAATCTCCGTAAAAGTAATTGTATTTATCCATTATAAATGACGGTTTAGAATCGTTCATCTTGGTATTGATAAAAGCCAGTTTTACGCTGTAGTGCATCGGTACCGTATAGTTCATAGATAAACGGAAATTACTAAAAATGTTGAAATTATTTTGCGATTTGCCACCGGTAATAGTAGTTATCGCGATAATGAACATTAAAGCGCTACGTATATTTTTCAGATTCATGTTGTACCAATTTTTGTTGCAAGAGAAAGTTGCAGAAACGTTCCTGCGTCACAGAAAAGAGGCGATTAGTAATGATGCTGGCACGGAGCTGTCAATGATTTCAGACTGATGTAATCTAATATTTATGTTAATTAAATGTTTAAATTTGAATTTAAAAAGTTATCATTATATTGTAGCAATTTATTTTACCTCAAAGTTTGTATATTTTACAAAAATTTTAGATGATTTCTTGCGTGCAAGAAATATATTATGATTATCGATATTAACTAGAGGTTTATGGGCGACTTTCAATAACTCTAAGAAACAATTTTGAATAAACAGAATTGTGTCTATACAGACAATTTATTCTTAAAAGAAATATATGTATACGTGTCATGCAGTTTTAGCGACTTACCCTGTGTATTATAATATTTCTATTGATATACAATTTTTGTAACAATTATTTCATCACTTATCGTAAAACAAGATATTAGAGTTTTACTGAAAATACATTTTTGGTGATTGCGATCTTACTTCTTCGAGAGATCGCCGCAAACTAACAATGATAACAACGGATCTCATTATAAATATAAAATGTCACATTAGTTTGCGAGGTTCCGTCGCGTGTCTCTTCTTGTCAAATAATATCAACAGGTTCCTTCGTTAGAATATTTAATGCAGATACATTTATCGTTAATTTATTGAAGTATTTGAATTCAGCTATGAAACTGCTAGCACGTTGCTAATCCGTTATATACTAGGAAGATTTTACATGTTTCTTAATTTTTGGAATTTAAATTATATTTTTATTTAATTTTAAATAATATCTATTTCTTTAAATATTTACATTATTTATTATATATATTATGTGTACCTATATATATATATATAGGTACACATATATATACATATATATATCGGTATATGTACTCGAAATCGTTACAGACAAATATACGGCAAGTTGCCAGCATCATAAGCAATCACAGATTTGAGCGATTTTGCTAAGACACGCTTAGTTATCTGGGGAAGTTTATTATATATCTTTATAATCATTTTCCGAAATTCATGACTGCTTGTTATTATAGTCGTATTTTACTTACCAAGCGACATGGTAGCGTCGCGACGACGCCAAGAATATAAAATATAAATTGCCTTGTGAACTAACTGACCAAGTTATTCCCTATATTTAGAGACATATGACCGTGGTGCTGCTAACAATAAGTAAACCTACCTACAAGTGTTACTCTGATTTCTTTTAAATTTAGCACAAATGTAGAACTACGAAAAATATTTCACCCATGTCTTTCCATTTTAGCCCATAAGCAGGTTGACGGGCAGTTAATACCTCTTTAATTTTCACCCTCCTATCATCAATAAGTACAATAATGATAATGCATAAGAAGCAACATGTAACACAATATAGGAGATTTTGAATCGCTGATTACAAATATAAAATCAGATTTGCAAAATAATTTGTTTAAATAATTGAAAATTGATAGAATAGAGTATAGTGACATATCGCACCACAAGAAAAATACTGTCACGACTCAAAAATTCACAATTTTTAGGAGAAAAAAAACAAATTTAATTTAATTTTTTTATTGCAAGATAACTAATGCAATTACAATTACAATATTCCGTTATATAATGAAACTTATACTGTTTCTTGAAGATAAAATAACTTGACTTTTGAAGCACAGATCTAGCTTGCGGTGGTTCAGGGTTCGGAGTAGGTGCGGAGGAAGATAAAGACTTGTATTTTACTAACAAACAAAATGGTTTATTTTAATAAGTCGCGGTAGTTTACAGAGATTCGGAGCAATAGCGCGATGTTGAACGTACGGAGCGTGGATACGCGGTAATGTTGTATAATAAATTTTTATTCGATTACGAATAACGAATAAATTTTTTATTTGTTGATTAAATTATTTATTATTAAAATTATTTGTTATTCACAATAAAACATGTTTATTCGTTATTTTTTATTCGAAAATAAAATAAAATACATAAAAATTTATTTTGTTAACAAATAATAATATTTCGTGAACGTAAAGTTATAAATTATTAATTAGTATTTTTAATCTATCTATATATATAAACACAAATGTCCTGCCTAACTGAATGACTGACTGACTAACTCATCAATGCCTAGCCTAAACCCCTAAAGCTAGAAACATGAAATTCGAGAATATATTCCTTCCATAACGTAAGCACCCACTAAAAAGGGATTTTTAGAAATTTGACTCCTAAGAGAGTAAAAAAGGGTAAAATGTGTGTTACTGTAGCGAATTACTGCAACGAAAATTAAGGTACTTATATGTAGGCGCACCGCGCTCTTCTCGCTCAGCGAGTGTTCAGCCGGGCGGCATTTGGCTGATGTTCGCCAGGAGCAATGTGTATTCGAGGGCGCATCATTACAAAGAAGTCTGCTGTGATTCACTTGTCAATTCACTTATGATACTATTCACCCAGAAAACCGTAGCATAACCGATTTAAAAGAATAATAACACTTCTGTTCTTATTCGGTGGATTTCGCATGTTAGACTTGTGACACTATTATAATACGTAGGTAACATATTTGAGGCATATTTACGGGTTTAACTTAAAATCAACATTTTTTTTTTTAGTTGTGACAGTATTCTTCTAATCTTCTCGAGGTGCGATATGTTATTGACATAAACATTCTTCTTTAATACTTTATTAATTTTTTGTAATGCTTATATGTAAATATTATAAAACATGCATATAATATTTCTATTGTGTTAAATTATATATCATTGATATTATTGCAGATAATATTTAAAATAAAACTTTGCAAATTATTTTATCGAAATATAAAAGAAATATATGATTGTAGAAATGTAGGTATATATCAAAATGTGTGCGACCTAAGCATGCCAAGTTTTTTATGCTTTATTTTGATTTAAATCCATTGTATATAATTTGCCTAAAATCACAAAAGAATCACAGAAAAATAAAATAAAATTTTAGTAATTAAACATTATATATATAGTATCTTGAAAAATGTTTTGAGATTTAAATTTGTCTCACAATCAGTAGTATTTGGCTAATTAAATTTATATAAATATCCAAGATATCCCATGCACATAATATTTATAGTAATATATGATAGAATAACATGTGGTATGTACATACACTATTTTATTATTATATTCTCTAACGGGTGCATTCAGTACTACACCTGCTCACTGAGCGGCTAAGTAGCAATAGAATGTGTTTGGTTTTTATCTTTGGATCCAACATCCAAGCAATCATATTTAATTGCTACTTAGCTGCCTAGTGAGCGGTTGTAGTACTAAATGCACCCAATAAATATAGTACAAGTCTTATTTTATGTATAATTTTAATGTTATTTTTGTATATTTGAAATTAATTGAAGTTATTTATGTAAATTATCACACTAACAATAAATATTATATGAAATTCTTAAATGTTTAGTGCAATTTTTGAAATTATTAGTAAATTAATCAGTAAAATAATAAGATAAATATGCATAACGTTTATTTGTATATTATAGTAGTGTGAGTATGCGGACACAGGTACGCCTGTCAATACATGGTTGTATTTTGCGTAGCAGCAGCAACACAGACGGGATATCTACTCGAGTTGCTTAGTTGCTTAGAGTTAAACCGAGATATGACTCGATATGATTATCAGATTTTAATATAATGGCTGGATTAAATTTATGATAAAATCAATTAATTAATAGATCTTATTGCACCTTATTGCATCAGAAAAATGTCTATAGTTTTGCTCTTCATGTAGCATAAACGGAGATATTATAATGTAATGTTCAAATCTGTAAAAATATAGAAATAATGACAATGTGAATTGGCAGTAGATTTCGCTCAGATATCGCAACAAATCCAATATTATATGTGTCCGGATTAAATAACTGTGGATCATCGTCCATACTTACCTTTGGGAATGTGATAAAAATAGGAAACCCTATTAGATAAACTTTTTGTAACTATATATCTTGTCTTAACCCTTAAACACATACTGTCCTTTCAGTACCATCAATACATAACGTAGGTATGCCATACCCGACTCGCATATTTCAACTGTAACTTTGCGTCCTGTGCATCAATTTTAACTTTTTTTTTTTTAAATTATGTGCCAGACTGTAAGGAAGAAGACCATGTAAATTATATTGTGATTTAACGTTTATCTTCAAAGATATGTGCAAATAAGTCGAATGAAGTCGTAAGAAAATTGTGCAAAATCACTTTTTCT